TGGTAGATGGTAGATGGTAGATGGTAGATGGTAGATGGTAGATGGTAGATGGTAGATGGCAGATGGTAGATGGCAGATGGTAGATGATAGACGGTAGACGGTAGGTGGTAGAAGTAGATGGTAGATGGTAGATGGTAGCTGGTAGACGGTAGACGGTAGACGGTAGACGGTAGACGGTAGATGGTAGACGGTAGACGGTAGACGGTAGACGGTAGATGGTAGATGGTAGATGGCAGATGGTAGATGGTAGATGGTAGATGGTAGATGGCAGATGGCAGATGGCAGATGGTAGATGGCAGATGGCAGATGGTAGATGGTAGATGGTAGATGGTAGATGGTAGATGGTAGATGGTAGATGGTAGATGGTAGATGGTAGATGGTAGATGGTAGATGGTAGATGGTAGATGGTAGATGGTAGATGGTAGATGGTAGATGGCAGATGGTAGATAGTAGATGGTAGATGGCAGATGGCAGATGGCAGATGGTAGATGGCAGATGGCAGATGGCAGATGGCAGATGGCAGATGGTAGATGGTAGATGGTAGATGGTAGACTGTAGATGGTAGATGGTAGATGGTAGATGGTAGATGGTAGATGGTAGATGGTAGATGGTAGATGGTAGATGGTAGATGGTAGATGGTAGATGGTAGATGGTAGATGGTAGATGGTAGATGGTAGATGGTAGATGGTAGATGGTAGATGGTAGATGGTAGATGGTAGATGGTAGATGGTAGATGGTAGATGGTAGATGGTAGATGGTAGATGGTAGATGGTAGATGGTTGATGGTTGATGGTAGATGGTTGATGGTAGATGGTAGACGGTAGACTGTGTCAGGCGGTGTATCTACTGCAGAAAGTCAGATAAACGGAGTCAGTCGATGGCCAGAAGGTAGACCATATCTGTCCAGCACGGCTCTGTCTGTAGACCGCGCCCTGTCAAACTTAACCTGTCTGTAGACCGCGCCCTGTCAAACTTAACCTGTCTGTAGACCGCGCCCTGTCAAACTTAACCTGTCTGTAGACCGCGCCCTGTCAAACTTAACCTGTCTGTAGACCGCGCCCTGTCAAACTTAACCTGTCTGTAGACCGTGCCCTGTCAAACTTAACCTGTCTGTAGACCGCGCCCTGTCAAACTTAACCTGTCTGTAGACCGCGCCCTGTCAAACTTAACCTGTCTGTAGACCGCGCCCTGTCAAACTTAACCTGTCTGTAGACCGCGCCCTGTCAAACTTAACCTGTCTGTAGACCGCGCCCTGTCAAACTTAACCTGTCTGTAGACCGCGCCCTGTCAAACTTAACCTGTCTGTAGACCGCGCCCTGTCAAACTTAACCTGTCTGTAGACCGCGCCCTGTCAAACTTAACCTGTCTGTAGACCGCGCCCTGTCAAACTTAACCTGTCTGTAGACCGCGCCCTGTCAAACTTAACCTGTCTGTAGACCGCGCCCTGTCAAACTTAACCTGTCTGTAGACCGTGCCCTGTCAAACTTAACCTGTCTGTAGACCGCGCCCTGTCAAACTTAACCTGTCTGTAGACCGCGCCCTGTCAAACTTAACCTGTCTGTAGACCGCGCCCTGTCAAACTTAACCTGTCTGTAGACCGCGCCCTGTCAAACTTAACCTGTCTGTAGACCGCGCCCTGTCAAACTTAACCTGTCTGTAGACCGCGCCCTGTCAAACTTAACCTGTCTGTAGACCGCGCCCTGTCAAACTTAACCTGTCTGTAGACCGTGCCCTGTCAAACTTAACCTGTCTGTAGACCGCGCCCTGTCAAACTTAACCTGTCTGTAGACCGCGCCCTGTCAAACTTAACCTGTCTGTAGACCGCGCCCTGTCAAACTTAACCTGTCTGTAGACCGCGCCCTGTCAAACTTAACCTGTCTGTAGACCGCGCCCTGTCAAACTTAACCTGTCTGTAGACCGTGCCCTGTCAAACTTAACCTGTCTGTAGACCGCGCCCTGTCAAACTTAACCTGTCTGTAGACCGCGCCCTGTCAAACTTAACCTGTCTGTAGACCGCGCCCTGTCAAACTTAACCTGTCTGTAGACCGCGCCCTGTCAAACTTAACCTGTCTGTAGACCGCGCCCTGTCAAACTTAACCTGTCTGTAGACCGCGCCCTGTCAAACTTAACCTGTCTGTAGACCGCGCCCTGTCAAACTTAACCTGTCTGTAGACCGCGCCCTGTCAAACTTAACCTGTCTGTAGACCGCGCCCTGTCAAACTTAACCTGTCTGTAGACCGCGCCCTGTCAAACTTAACCTGTCTGTAGACCGCGCCCTGTCAAACTTAACCTGTCTGTAGACCGTGCCCTGTCAAACTTAACCTGTCTGTAGACCGCGCCCTGTCAAACTTAACCTGTCTGTAGACCGCGCCCTGTCAAACTTAACCTGTCTGTAGACCGCGCCCTGTCAAACTTAACCTGTCTGTAGACCGCGCCCTGTCAAACTTAACCTGTCTGTAGACCGCGCCCTGTCAAACTTAACCTGTCTGTAGACCGCGCCCTGTCAAACTTAACCTGTCTGTAGACCGCGCCCTGTCAAACTTAACCTGTCTGTAGACCGCGCCCTGTCAAACTTAACCTGTCTGTAGACCGCGCCCTGTCAAACTTAACCTGTCTGTAGACCGCGCCCTGTCAAACTTAACCTGTCTGTAGACCGCGCCCTGTCAAACTTAACCTGTCTGTAGACCGCGCCCTGTCAAACTTAACCTGTCTGTAGACCGCGCCCTGTCAAACTTAACCTGTCTGTAGACCGCGCCCTGTCAAACTTAACCTGTCTGTAGAACGCGCCCTGTCAAACTTAACCTGTCTGTAGAACGCGCCCTGTCAAACTTAACCTGTCTGTAGACCGCGCCCTGTCAAACTTAACCTGTCTGTAGACCGCGCCCTGTCAAACTTAACCTGTCTGTAGACCGCGCCCTGTCAAACTTAACCTGTCTGTAGACCGCGCCCTGTCAAACTTAACCTGTCTGTAGACCGTGCCCTGTCAAACTTAACCTGTCTGTAGACCGCGCCCTGTCAAACTTAACCTGTCTGTAGACCGCGCCCTGTCAAACTTAACCTGTCTGTAGACCGCGCCCTGTCAAACTTAACCTGTCTGTAGACCGCGCCCTGTCAAACTTAACCTGTCTGTAGACCGCGCCCTGTCAAACTTAACCTGTCTGTAGACCGCGCCCTGTCAAACTTAACCTGTCTGTAGACCGCGCCCTGTCAAACTTAACCTGTCTGTAGACCGTGCCCTGTCAAACTTAACCTGTCTGTAGACCGCGCCCTGTCAAACTTAACCTGTCTGTAGACCGCGCCCTGTCAAACTTAACCTGTCTGTAGACCGCGCCCTGTCAAACTTAACCTGTCTGTAGACCGCGCCCTGTCAAACTTAACCTGTCTGTAGACCGCGCCCTGTCAAACTTAACCTGTCTGTTAACCAAACTTAACTTTCACTGTTAGTTCGATTAGACCAATTCAACTCAATGTGGAGTAAACATGGAACATGACATGGAACATGACATGGAACATGACAGAGAACATGACAGGGAACATGACAGGGAACATGACAGGGAACATGACAGGGAACACGACAGGGAACATGACATGACCATGACAGGGACCATGACAGGGAACATGACATGGAACATGACATGGAACATGACAGGGAACATGACAGGGAACATGACATGGTTGTAGCAGTTCGACTACAGTTTGGATGACATGTAAATGTAAAAAGTTCAAATAGAAACAAACGCGACATTGGTATCTTCTTTGTTTGAAGAAACTATTTCTCTCTCTCTCTCTATCTATAGCTATCTTTTCCCACCTCTCTTTCTGTCTAAATTCCTGGCATGATGTATATGTATGTATCTCTCTCTCTCTCTCTCTCTCTCTTTCTCTCTCTCTCTCTCTCTCTCTCTCTCTCTCTCTCTCTCTCTCTCCTTTTAAATAACATTTGAAAAATATTATTTTTAAACGTTCAAAATCCATCTGTTTTTATTGACATCATTTTAAAAATGTTACTATATTTAAAATAAATTATAAATATTTTATAATTGTTTATTAATACCTTCCTATTACCGCTACATTATTGATACGTACACGCAACGAATCCGATTTTTTTAACCGGATGTCAAGTCCAGTTTTCATCTCTCCAACATAATCCCGCCTCTAGACAGCGCTCACAAGGCGAACTTATGACAAGATACATTTTCATCAATTGTGACCTTTGCTCTCCAGCGAGCGAAGATCAGAGGAAAACTAGACGAAACTGATCTTGACAGAAAAACCTTTAATAACGTTTGAATCAGATTGTTGTCATGGCTGGCTTCTGTAGCAGAGCTGACCGCAAGACGTGAGCATCGAGGGGGAATAAGTCAACTGTAATTTGACTTGACCTCTGCTTGTTTGGGGAATAAGTCAACTGTAATTTGACTTGAACTCTGCTTGTTTGGGGAATAAGTCAACTGTAATTTGACTTGGCCTCTGCTTGGTTGGAGAATAAGTCAACTGTAATTTGACTTGACCTCTGCCTATTTGGGGAATAAGTCAACTGTAATTTGACTTGACCTCTGCTTATTTGGGGAATAAGTCAACTGTAATTTGACTTGACCTCTGGTTATTTGGGGAATAAGTCAACTGTAATTTGACTTGACCTCTGCTTGTTTGGGGAATAAGTCAACTGTAATTTGACTTGACCTCTGCTTGTTTGGGGAGTAAGTCAACTGTAATTTGACCTCTAGCTATTCGGGACACAAGTCAACTGTAAATTGGCTTGATAACTATGTGGATTACGACAACGTCTACGTTAATTTTATGGATGTGCTTCTTTATACATAAAAATTGTTCGTTTATTTACTCAAACAAATGTTGATACCGTTTATCAAACAAATGTTGATAACATCTACCAAACAAATGTTGATAACGTCTATCAAACAAATGTTGATACCATCTATCAAACAAATGTTGATACCATCTATCAAACGAATGTTGATACCATCTATCACTTTCCCCAGAATGACGACAGTACCAAGATATCACACAGATGTCTGGGTGGCCTTTGTCTTACATCAGATGATCTTTAGAGGCAATCAATGAAAATGTGCTCAGAATATTTCGTCATTTTTACTTGGATACAAGTACGTAAAGCTGACTGTGATTTCATTCAAGTACCTAAATCTGACTTTGATTCTGTGATAAGGCTCGAAGCTGTGTTAAGTCGCTGTCTGTGAAAAGAACATGGCACTGGGAATGTATTCTTTCAAGTTCTGGAATGTTCCTCCCGTGGGTGCGACCCTGACGTGTGTCTGCCAATTGTTGTGCCTGCACCTCCTCTCCTGCACCCTCGTGTCTTTCAGTTCCAGCCGTCTGCCCGGATGTAGCGCCGCCCCTGTCGACGATCAGGTACGATTTGTTTTCCTCATCAGCTGCAAGTGGCTGAGTGCAATTAGCTAGAAAATACATCAGTTCTTAATGCGTTTAGAGTTCGCTCCCCACCCAGGGAAATCAAATTTAGGTTTTTTACGAGAAGAAAATTTTTCCTCAGACACACTTATGTGTTTTTCACCAATAAACACTGAGGCTTTTAACGATAAACAGATTTTCTTTCACCAACAGCCCGTATCTTGCCAACAAACGTCAATATTTTTGTCCTTAGATTCATTTCCCTTTACATAAACTTTTACAGATAAACACACACGCTTTTACATATAGATAAACACTTTGATAGTTAAAAACACACACACTTTTACAGATAAACACACACACTTTTGCAGATAAACACACACACTTTTACAAATACACACACTTTTAAAAATAAAAACACATACTTCTACGAATAGATCTACAAATATACACATATATTTTTACAAATAAATCCACATATTTTAAAAATAGCTACACGTACTTGCACAAATTACGATTTAACCAATCAAAGCACGTGGTTTAACAAGAAAATATTTGACGACAACGAGGACTTATTTCCTATCGAAATAGAGGAAATGTATTAAACTAACTTTAAAATATAGGAACAATAGAATGATCATTTTAAATATTTATTATGCGCGGTCAGGTGTGGAAAAAAATACTGTATTTATTATCCCAAATTTTGCCTCGTTGCTTAATGTCTTATTAATTTTCCACAATTCTCTTTAAATTGGGATCTAATTTTTTTTAACACAACACTTCCCTATGAGTCCTCCAAGGATGTACACATCCACGCTAGAAGTAGACAAGACATCTTTTCGCATTCTTTCGGTAGTTGGTGTTACCGTCAGCTTTCATTTATGATGTATTTGTGTAGAGGAAGACGTGTTTCTGCTGTTAGAGAATCCATCAAGTTTCTTATTGCATTAGATGAACAAGTCAAACCCACCTCGCTTGACACATCTTGGCCAGATAAACATCTGGGCATGTTAGCCAAATAAATACTGCTGATATTTTAAATTTAATATTTGTAAATATACGTTTGTTTATTTTACTTCAAAATAATTTCTATAAATAAAACGTTATGGGAAAAGCTTTTTTGTAACTCAAAACTGTTTTGAACCACGAAGTTAACAACACTCGATAAATAAATAAATTTTTTTAAAGAAGGCTTCTTTTTACGGCAGTAAAATGCTTGACAGTTAAGCTTTAAAATTGCACTGAAATAACTGGGAATTCTTAAGCAATGTCTTTACGCACAACATTTTTCTAATGTAAGTTTCCTAACTTCACAAATGTATTTATCTAACGTGTCTTTAGACCTGAGTTTTAAAAGAGTGAACTATCCTGTGCGAGTTAAGATTGGAACTTTACCCTGTGTTTTAAGGTCTGACCCCATCCCATGCAAGTTGGTCTGACCCCATCCCATGCAAGTTGGTCTGACCCCATCCCATGCGAGTTGGTCTGACCCCATCCCATGCGAATTGGTCTGACCCAATCCCATGCGAGTTGGTCTGACCCCATCCATCCCATTAGTTGGTCTGACCCCATCCCATGCGAGTAGGTCTGACCCCATCCCATGCGAGTAGGTCTGACCCCATCCCATGCGAGTTGGTCTGACCCCATCCCATGCGAGTTGGTCTGACCCCATCCATCCCATCCGAGTTGGTCTGACCCCATCCCATCCGAGTTGGTCTGACCCCATCCATCCCATCCGAGTTGGTCTGACCCCATCCCATCCGAGTTGGTCTGACCCCATCCCATCCGAGTTGGTCTGACCCCATCCATCCCATGCGAGTTGGTCTGACCCCATCCCATGCGAGTTGGTCTGACCCCATCCATCCCATGCGAGTTGGTCTGACCCCATCCATCCCATGCGAGTTGGTCTGACCCCATCCCATGCGAGTTGGTCTGACCCCATCCATCCCATGCGAGTTGGTCTGACCCCATCCCATGCGAGTTGGTCTGACCCCATCCCATGCGAGTTGGTCTGACCCCATCCATCCCATGCGAGTTGGTCTGACCCCATCCCATGCGAGTTGATCTGACCCCATCCATCCCATGCGAGTTGGTCTCACCCCATCCATCCCATGCGAGTTGGTCCGACCCTTTCCATCCCATGCGAGTTGGTCTGACCCCATCCATCCCATGCGAGTTGGTCTGACCCCATCCCATGCGAGTTGGTCTGACCCCATCCCATGCGAGTTAGTCTGACCCCATCCCATCCGAGTTGGTCCGACCCTTTCCATCCCATGCGAGTTGGTCTGACCCCATCCATCCCATGCGAGTTGGTCTGACCCCATCCCATGCGAGTTGGTCTGACCCCATCCCATGCGAGTTGGTCTGACCCCATCCATCCCATGCGAGTTGGTCTGACCCCATCCATCCCATGCGAGTAGGTCTGACCCCATCCATCCCATGCGAGTTGGTCTGACCCCATCCATCCCATGCGAGTTGGTCTGACCCCATCCATCCCATCCGAGTTGGTCTGACCCCATCCCATGCGAGTTGGTCTGACCCCATCCATCCCATGCGAGTAGGTCTGACCCCATCCATCCCATGCAAGTTGGTCTGACCCCATCCATCCCATGCGAGTTGGTCTGACCCCATCCCATGCGAGTTGGTCTGACCCCATCCCATGCAAGTTGGTCTGACCCCATCCATCCCATGCTAGTTGGTTTGACCCCACCCCATGCGAGTTGGTCTGACCCCATCCATCCCATGCGAGTTGGTCTGACCCCATCCATCCCATGCGAGTTAGTCTGACCCCATCCCATGCGAGTTAGTCTGACCCCATCCCATGCGAGTTGGTCTGACCCCATCCATCCCATGCGAGTTGGTCTGACCCCATCCCATACGTGTTAGTCTGACCCCATCCCATGCAAGTTGGTCTGACCCCATCCCATGCGAGTAGGTCTGACCCCATCCCATGCGAGTTGGTCTGACCCCACCCCATCCGAGTTGGTCTGACCCCATCCATCCCATGCTAGTTGGTCTGACCCCATCCATCCCATGCGAGTTAGTCTGACCCCATCCCATGCGAGTTAGTCTGACCCCATCCCATGCGAGTTGGTCTGACCCCATCCATCCCATGCGAGTTGGTCTGACCCCATCCCATACGTGTTAGTCTGACCCCATCCCATGCAAGTTGGTCTGACCCCATCCCATGCGAGTTGGTCTGACCCCATCCCATGCGAGTTGGTCTGACCCCATCCCATGCGAGTTGGTCTGACCCCATCCCATGCGAGTTGGTCTGACCCCATCCCATGCGAGTTGGTCTGACCCCATCCCATGCGAGTTGGTCTGACCCCATCCCATGCGAGTTGGTCTGACCCCATCCATCCCATGCAAGTTGGTCTGACCCCATCCATCCCATGCGAGTTGGTCTGACCCCATCCATCCCATCCGAGTTGGTCCGACCCTTTCCATCCCATGCGAGTTGGTCTGACCCCATCCCATGCGAGTTGGTCTGACCCCATCCCATCCGAGTTGGTCTGACCCCATCCATCCCATGCAAGTTGGTTTGACCCCATCCATCCCATGCGAGTTGGTCTGACCCCATCCCATGCGAGTTGGTCTGACCCCATCCCATGCGAGTTGGTCTGACCCCATCCATCCCATGCAAGTTGGTCTGACCCCATCCCATGCGAGTAGGTCTGACCCCTCCCATGCGAGTAGGTCTGCAGTAAAGCTTAAAACAACTGATGAAAGAAGCAGCTGAGGGGATGAAGCTAAATTACGTATGCTGAAGGCTGGCCCAGCAAACATGGATTCTAGCACCTGCACGCTTGTTCACCTGTCAGAGTCTCCGGCCCGTCTACCTGCCTGCCACACCACGGGGGGTTCTGCTCGAGTTTACCTGGATAGGTGGGGGTAGGGGCTGGGGTGGAGGCAGGAAACAGGGGTTGTTATAAGGAAGGGGTGGGGTGTTAACAAGACGGGGGTGTTTCGAGGGTTGGCTGGTAGGAGATTTTAATTGTTGGGAAGTTACAAGTAATTTTTTTTTAATCAGAGACTAATTACCTTAGTTTTACAAGTAAATTATTTTTTTTAAATTAAAAAAATTGGAGACTAATTAAGTTAGATTTACAAGTAAATTTAAAACATCAGAGACTGATTACCTTAGTTTTACACGAAAACTTGTATTTTAAAAAAAAACGAGCCTGTGCCATGATGTAGAGGTAATAAAATAAGAGACTGATTGGGTTATTTAAAATACTTTAAAAATAACAAGAGTGTACCTAACAGCATATGCTGTGTACAGTTTGAGACTTAACAGTATATGCTGGGTATAGTTTGAGACTTAACAGCATATGCTGTGTATAGTTTGGGACTTAAAAGTATCGGCTGTGTATAGTTTGGGACTTAAAAGTATACGTTGTGTATAGTTTGGGACGTTGAATGGCGTGTGTGAAGGAATGAAAAAAAACGCTTTGGAGCAGAGGCGTAGCGAGGGGGTGGTATGTCCCCGGGAATGGTCGCTACGCCTCTGGGGGGTGACACCATTAAGTGCCGCACCGGGTGACACCCGACCTCGCTACGCCACTGCAGTGGAGCCAGTTAATAATTTCATCTTAGACTGACAACTTTGCTGAACTGTTATTTAGACGTGTAGCGAGAGAAGAACAATCACATATACTGACAGTGATTTAGCCGGTAGTGATTTAGGTGAGCACTGATTTAGCCAGTGGTGACTTAGACGGGCACTGATTTAGCCGGTAGTGATTTAGACGGGCACTGATTTAGCCGGTAGTGATTTAGACGGGCACTGATTTAGCCAGTAGTGACTTAGACGGGCACTGATTTAGCCGGTAGTGATTTAGGTTAGCACTAATTTAGCCGGTAGTGATTTACCGGGCACTGATTTAGCCGGTAGTGACTTAGACGGGCACTGATTTAGCCGGTAGTGATTTAACAGGGCACTGATTTAGCCGGTAGTGATTTAACAGGGCACTGATTTAGCCGGTAGTGATTTAACA